GTGGTGCGCGTCAGCATGATCACTCCGCCGTCTGAATTCGGCCACCTCGTCGCTCTTGGGCCCGACGGGTTCTTCCTCTGCACTTGCTTGCGGCAGCTGGAGCACGGCCTGCTTTGCCCGCATGGCCTTAAGGCCATGTGGACCGAGGGTGTCGACAGGTTCAACGGAGCGACCATTTCACCACGGTGGCGGGAGAGTGAGACGCCGTGGCTGATGGCCGACCTGGCCGCTAAGCCTGTGACCCTGTCGGCCGGATTGGCGGCGAGTGCCGGCCCGCCGGTGGCTGTCAGCCAGCCGCCGCGTGTCGACCCCAACTCCACCGCCTCGCGCTCCGGCCCTAACGTGCCATCATACGCGTACGCGAACGGCGTTGCCCTGGGCAAGGAGTTGGGTGGTATGTTCAAAGAGATCCACAGTCTGGCGGGCATCAACCGCGCAATAGAGAGCATCAAGTTCTTCGCCCGCGGGCAAGTCGACGTGGAGAAGAGATCCGAAGAAGAGCTCTCAANTCGCTTACGATAGAGATCAGATCACCATTAGGGAAGGACGGCTCGCTTCGAACCCCACACCCGGCTGTGATGGATAAGGGGGGAAGAGCGTACTCATGGGGCGGAACCCTCGAATCTACCGGTTGTGTAACGTAGTCTTTTTCTTGCAGGCGTCGGCGAGACGCAAGTACCACAAGCAAGCACCCTCCCGCTCCCGGGGGCAGCGTAGGACCGCGTGTGTACCGACCATGTTTGTGCTTCATGTCTTTTCGGCTCCCACGAATTGTTTTGAAACTGTAGTTTAGAGCTAGCGTGCGAAACTAAAACAACTAAATACAAACGTCATGGACAGTCACCCCAACCAACCGACTGTCCCCACTAGGCCCAATGACCCCCTGCGAGTTCGACCTTTTTCTCGTCCGCCTTCCGACAGCAACAGCGAAGCNCATTTAGCAACTGACATACGGTTTAATGTGAAGACAACAACAACAACAACACAAGATCACACACCCCGGTGATAAATCAAGTTACGCCGCATGTATTCACGGGGCCCCTCCTTTTTTATCACCGGGGTGGCAGCATCTGCCCTTGGGCATCACACAAAACCCACCCTCCGTGTGCGGGGAAAACACCCCGCATGGAGACCTCAAACAACATGAACGTGCGGGAAGAAGAGCAGATTGCCGCCGCAAGTACCTCCGCAGCTGCTTCGACCGCAGCAGCACAGGCGTCGCAGATCACCTCGTTCTTTGAAACCAAGCAACCTTCTTCTACCCAAGCGCCTCCTGCTTCGGCTCCTCCTGCTGCTGCTGCTGCTGCTGCTGCTGCTGCTGCTGCTGCTGCTGCTGCTGCTGTTGATCTAACGACAGCCCTAACCCTAACCCTAAGTTGATCTATCGACAGCAGCAGCAGCTGGGACTGCAACAGGCGCCAACAAGAAAGCCACCGCCTCGCCTCACCAGCAGCCAGTTGCTGACTCGCTCTCAGCTGCACGTACGAGTACCGCAGAGGAGTCAACACGCGCCACCAGCCAAGCCTCTCAGCTGGTGGTGGAGGACGTGGCGGAGGACCAGGAGCCAAGCACTTCATTCGGCACGGAAGAACGATCCAAGTGAGAAATGTGTGTGTGTGCTTACTGGGTTTGGCGTTCAGCAGTGGTATCGGTCCGCGTGTGGTCTCGAAACGTGCAATTGTGGGTTGTCTTCTGCGCCACCCGCAGACTCCCGCGTTCGTGTAGTTTTTTGGCATTGGTTTTGGAGCCACACGTTCGCGGTACACATTTTGAAGTTGTTTGTGCGTAGCTTTTTGTGCGCCACACGTTCCCGCGGTCAACACATTTTTGTATGTGTGTGTGTGTACCTAGGCATATATGATTTTTGTTCCTGCATGGCGTTTTGTGTTGCGGAAATACCGCAGCTTTGTTTGCAGCTGGCATACCTGAGGAATTTTCCAGTTGTTGTTCTCTGCTTTGCACATGTGTTTAATTCACCCACGAATGGTAAAATTATAACAATTGTAATTATCGCAGCATTGTTGCCGCTGATTTACCGGTACCTAGATGGTGCATCCGTGCCTGTTTTGCAATTTTTTGTTCACCCTCACGGTACTTTCAACCGCAAACGGTATTTGGAGAATTGGAAACGGTGCCCTTTCGACTATAAAAGTCAGCCAGCACTTTATGAAAGGAATTTTCGGTTTCTACCCACACGACACATGTTTTCGTGCGTGCAAACATTGACCGCTTCGTTCCATCCCGCACATGATGTCTACTCTAGCCTTTTGTAGGGCGGGCTCCACGCCCGGAGCGCCGCCATCAGGAGCAGCACCGGCGCCAGCTCCAGCATCGGCGCCAGCTCCAGCACCGGCACCAGCTCCAGGATCAGGAAGCGCAGGAGCAGCGGCAGCAGCAACACCAGCAGCGGCAGCAGCAACACCCACACCAGCACCAGCGTCAGGAGCTCCGGTGGCCAACGATGGCAAATCCGGCAACATGATGTTTCCCAGAGAGACAGAGTGGGGAGATGGGCTCAGCGGCGTTCTCTTCGGTACGCCGGCACAGAACAAGGGCAAGAGGAAGAAAGGGCGGCTGGGGCTGGAGCCGCCGGACTTCCCGATTCCCGACCATGGTGGTGGAACCCAAAGGAAGCGCTACACCTTGCAGTTCAAGGTGAATGCCGTGAGGTACTCGCAGAGAAAGCTCAAGGGGGCGCAAGGACCGGGCGGGACTGTTGGCGTAACATACGCCAGCAGGATCCTCAAGATTCCCGACAAGGCCACGTTGGCGGCGTGGGTCAAAGACGTCGACAAGTACGAAGCCGCGCTTGCGGAGGAGACCAAGTACTCGCGAGTGAAGGGCAGGAAGAAAGCCAAGCACCGCATGTCGACGTCGGACGGACTAGGACGCACACGGACGCCGAACGCGAGGTCGTGGACTGGATCAATGATCTGCGTTCTGACGGCATCTCTGCCCGTGTCTCGACGAGGATGATCAAGAACAAGGCCACGGAACTCAACCCGAACTTCTTCGGGGAGAGGCCGCCGCCGTCCGACATCGAGGGCAACCTGCGGTACACCCGCAAGAAGACCGCGTGGTGCAGAAGGTTTCTCAGGGTCTACCGCTTTTCTGTGCGAGCCGTCACCCGTCAAGGCCAGAAACTTCCTACCGGCTGGCCCGTGATCGCCATGCACGCGATCAAGGAGTGGANTACGGAGTCGAATCCCTGGGGGCAGTGGCGGGAGGCAGCGCGAGCGGGAGCGGGGGTGGGAGTGGCGCTGGAGTTCCGTCGGGGCCGAGTCCCAAGTTCGCCTTGGCGCAGATCGCCAACATGGATGAGACTCCTACGTTGATGGAAACCCGGGGAACAACACTGTGAACGTGAGTGCCTGGTCGTTTCTTTTTTGCCCTAGTTTTCCCTCATGCTTCGTTCGATATAGCGATCCCTATCTTGGCCTCCATACATGTACGTACCTAGTTTGAGTGTACGATATATATGTACATGCGTAGTTTCCGTCTTTTCTTGGGCGTCCTGTCCTCCGCTGATTTTGGTTATATTTTTTTACAACCGCTGCTCTCACTTTCAAGCTTGACATGAAAAATCGTTTCTGCATACCCGACGTTGACGTCGCTTTTCGCTGCTCTATGGAATCCCGCAGCGCACCGGCGACAAGGAGGTTGGCGTCAAAACCGGCGGCAAGGAGAAGATGCGCATCACTTCGGTCCTGACGGTGTTCGCCGACGGCAGCAAGCTGCCGCCCCTCGTCATCTTCAAGGGCCAGCCCACGCCGAAGGGGAAGGCCCCTGCCGCCAACAGCATCGAGCGCGAGTTCAAGGACTACAAGGACAAGAAGGGCTACGCATACCCTCGAGGTGTCGTCTACGCCGTGGACCCGAAGGCATGGCACTCCCAGCGGGTGTTCAACGAGGTCTGGCTGCCTCAGGTGTGGAACCAGCGCCCGGGGCGGCAGGGTCGCCTGGGCGGCTACCGTCAGCCTGACACGCTGCTGGCGTGGGACGACTACACCGTCCACAAGACGGACGCGTCTACCAAG